TTTCCAAATAATGACATTTAAAAAAGTTAACATGAAGTGGGAAGTGATCAAGTTCCTTAAGATGACAAGGACTAAATTTTTTTAAAAGAACAACTTACAAAATTATAAAGTAGACATTGTACTTTGTATGCTAGTTTATACCTACGCCAACAAAAAAGGTAAACTTGAGGATTGGTAAATGTGCATACATGACCTTATTAACCACTTAATAGCTATGGTAGAGAACATGGTTGATGACAACAAATGGATCACAATCTTTCATGCAAGCCACTAATTGCCACTAGTCTACAAAAAGTATCACTAGTAGTGTGTGCAAATCCATTGATCATACATAATTTGGAATATATCTATTTGGCTATAAAATTGATGGACTTAGCAAAACAAAGGTTTGCAATTTAATAATATAGCAAAAATTATTATAGAAATCAAAAATGAAAAATGTCATTACCTACACCAAAGTTTCAATTTCAAGATTTTCTACAATAACCTTTCACTATTGGGACTTTAATGACAATTACTTTGAATCTATTGAGGAAAACATGGAGCCATTTTATGACAATGACACCAACATAGTCAGAAGGTTAAAGATAAATCCAAACTTCCTTTTTCATAAACTAATTTAAGTTAAAATAGTATATTATATGGATAAAAACAACTAATCATTCTAATATTTAGGATAAACCATTTTAAATTGTAAATAATCATGCAATATATAAAAGTAATAATGTTTTTAGCAAAGATTGTTAAACTTTTTAACCATTTTAAAGAGTTGTGCAACTACTTTATTTTAATTTCACTTTGTTCCTCAAAAACTGGATTCTTTACAAGTTAGAATGTTGTGAAAGAAGAAGTAGTTTTAGTTTGTTTTATTTCATTTTTTAGTACATATTATCATATTTTAACCCTGTAAAAGAAAGCACTCAAAGGCAATAATATCTTTATTTGAGCATTACGGCCATGAGTACTGACTACAATATTGGTTAGCTTCTTCTACAAGAAGTAGTTGGACTTTCTTCTGCAATGTTAGAATATCACACCCGAGTAAGATTATAAAATCAACTGTTGGAGAGATCACACCTTCTACTTATCTTTTTCTCTTAAAAGCACAATGGTGGCAACAAGCAGCCAGACATGAACAAAACGTTGTGCACCTGGACACCTTTGTGGTACCTAGAGCTTTTTTAGAATGCTAGAACCGAGGACTTGATCTCAATAACTTTGAAACGCAATTAAGAAAATCTTGGCATATTATTTTATTGTTTTTGGAAGTTCAGAATGGCTGAGAGAGAAGTCTGTGTATATGGCCATCCATGGATAATTCTCGACGTGCTGCTACCATGAAATTTGCGAGGCGAGCTCCATTCAGAAAGAGATGCTTGCACGCTGATGGAAGACCGTCGTCACAACACAGTGATTCACGCAAAAGCTCCCTCATCAGCTCCTCTGAGAGCTCTCTGATGTAAACCACGGCACTCTCCTTGGAAGTTCCAGGTTTTTCTTCAAGATAAATGCTCACGCTGTTCAATGGACTGTCATCGTCCTGTAAGTCTTGTTCCAAAGTTATAGCCGAGTTCATCACAGTGCAGAGCTTTGAAAACTGGTAGAGCTTTCCAGCTGCGAGCTTCTCTTTGACGAAATACATCGTGCTATAAACCGCAGGTTCGACGTCCGACTTTGACGCTTTTAAATGGTCTTCGAGTGTTGGACGTTTTTTGGAAACCCGCCACCTCGTTTTCTCTAGCAGGCTGGACAACCAGTTGCTCCACTGCAGGAAAGTAAGAGTAAAATTTCTCAAACTCATCAAGATAAACAAAAGAATAACTTACAATCCTTCTTAGCTCGTTTTTCACACTTCGGCCTTGAAAATTGAGGCATTGCTTGCTCTGGCTCTCGACTTCCAGAAAGATCTCAATAAATAGCAGCTTGACGTCGTCCGAGGAGTCTTCCATAGAGCTGGGATCCCATCTACAGCATCACAACGAAAAGTATCATTAGAGAACAATGCACATATTCGATATAATTTACCTTTGGACACCATTTAAGAGGTCTTGGAGATCAACTGTGGAACTTTCCCTCCGAAAGTATTCCTCTATAACGCTTGCTATAAACGAACACTTCGACCACACAACCCTTGCAGTCGCTAGCTCTGGTTCAAAGATTGTCGCTGCTGCTCCAAAAAACGATCGCTCGAGGTCTCTGTGATAGCATCCAAATTTTCGGAAGCTACTTTCAGCATACCATCTGCAACAAGATCAACGTGATTACGCCCAGTTGGTTGTAGTTTGATTACCTTTCCAACTGCTTAAACTCTTGTTTGTGAAATGCCTGGCACGTATTAAAATCCAGCTTTGCGAGCTCGAGAAAGACTGGGTTGTTTACGAACGGCATTCTTTTAAAGGTAACGTTGGAGTCAGGCAGTGATCAAAGACAAGGAATTTAGTTCATCTACCTGTAGAGGCTCTTCCCGATCCAAACATCGTCTACTCCATACTGATCGATGTAGCTTCTCGTAGCGATTCGTTCCACAGTAGCATGGAAGGGGTTATCGAGCTCAAATTCAACCTGAGGAAAACAACAACTGAGATTCTCTTCATTAATCATCATACTCTTACCTCTCCGGGAAGATCTTTCGTTACAACCCACTTGTCATTGAGCTCTCCCTTCCGCCGTTTCTCATCCAGAAAACTCCTGGTGAATGCTCTCGCTTTTTGCAGAATCACGTCGCCTGGAAACATAACTTTCGTGGCTTTGTATAAATCGAGCATTCCTGTCACTGCTTCACTGACTTGCCCGACAAAGCAGAAGAACCCGTGCTCATTTTCATGCTGAAAGTGCTTGAAGACGTCTGCAAATTAAGTCGTCAGCCAGCCAAGTGTTTCTTCATGTATTTACCTGCAGAAACATCGTATCCGTGACTCCGTAGGACCATGAAGCCCATGGAAGTGTCGTCGCCGTCTTGAATAGGTGTACCTCTGGCCCATGATATTCCTTTATCAGTCCAATTTCTGTTCATTCACAATAAAAGATTGAATTTGTTTCGCAATTGTCTACGAGGTTAACCTGTAGACATAGTCCAGGGCATCTTTGATTTCTCGAGTGAAGTACCGAGCGATTCCCAACCTCTCTATGCGATCAACAATCCAGATGTGTTCAAATAAATCTACCGGGTACGTGTTTGGTACTGCTTTTGTTTGAAGACACTTTCTTAGAGTTTAGACTTTCATAGTTTTTTTTATCGAACCTGCATCTTTGTATCTCTCGAGAATGTTGTTGAGGTATTGCAGGCACTTCTCGTTTCCAGTGTACATGAGAGCACACGCCGTAGACGAGGGACTGGAAAGCAAAGAACCATCTGAACACTGCAGTTTTACAACTTTGTGCCAGTCAAGGCTCTTATGGAGTCCTTCGACCGAGTATAGCAGAGGCGTGGGATGAGTTTGGAGGACATCCAACGATATCCTAGGAGAACACTTGTAAGTGAAACAAAAAAACCAGGATCCACAAACCTCTGGAGCTTCTTCTCTCTCTCAGCATGGAACTTGTGCACGACTGGAGACGAGTAGTCGAGGTCCAGTCCCAGCTCCATAGCTTCATCTAGCATTGCCGGGAAGACGATCTCAAATCCTATCAGCATGTGTGCACTCTCCTCCGTCTCCAGCGTGGGCATTGTTCTCCGGATGAATTCAAGTCCTGCTTGAGAAAACTTTTAGACGATCATGACTTCTTTCTTCTCACCTTTTTCGATATGCTTCTCTTGTGTGTTCCAGATCTTGAGCGATATAACACATGCCAGTGTAGAACACACGCGTTCGTAGGTGAAGAACAAGTCTTTGTCACCCCAGGAGCCATCTTCGAACTGGTTTTTGATGATCCAGTCAAGACACATTGGAAACTGTGGTGAGTTGCTTCCATCGAGTGCAGGAACGCGTGCTACCCAAGCAGTATCATACGCAGATCTTGATATGTTTCCATCTCCCAGGGAGCGGAACATCGTTCGAACAGCGTCTACTAGTTCTAGTCGACGCTTTCGTTGTACATCCTCGCTGACAGTGGATCTAGTGATTCTCTCGAGCTTCTGTGACCACAAACATTTTGATAGAAGTGAAAAAGAAAATGTGTACGTACGTGTTGGCTTGATGAACTTTTTGCAGGACCAACTTCCGCGATACAAGATAAAATCGATGTTCTCAACCTTGTCTTTTGTGGTCCACTAAAAACTGGATTTGGTGGTGCGAACGTTGCATTCGAAGCTGTCGAGTAGCCGATGTTTGGTAATACCTTGCACATCAGCATGTTTGCAAACGATAGAGATGAGCAAAAACCTGGGTCCAACAATTGGCTTTAAAGGCGAGAAAACGTTTCTCAGTCAAGTCTGGAAGACAATTGAAGTTCAATTGATAAACCATAAACGAAGTTTACGAGTTCTTTCACGTCTGCATTAGCTCTACCGAAAAACTGGAATTCTAAATCTTTTGATGTACCACTAGCATGACACGCTTGAAAACAATGCTATTAGTTTACACTGATTAGTTTCCCTTTTTTTCTATTGTACCTCGAGCAAGCTTTTTTCTCCGCGAGTCAGTGGAGCCGACGACGGCACCGACCAACGCACCGCTGCTTTTCCTCTTCATTCTGAGTCCTCGTGGTCTTCTAAGTTGGCTTGCAAAAGAAATGCTATGAGCTTGCGTAGTTTTCTTCTCAAAGCTTTCCGGTTAAATAGTTTGTATGGATCACTATAACTCGTCCTCGAGCGATTTGCACTGCTGCTGTAGAGGTTTCTCCAAGATTTCGCTGTCGCAGCTCTTGTGGTCCCGCTCTTTATGCTCTTGGTGGTCCAGCTTATGTGCACTTGCGATGATAGCTCCCCTTCGGAATTAGCGGAAGTATATGTAGCGCCCAACACCGACCAATGGGACGAGTCCGGTTGGAACGTTGGCTTCATCATTTTCCTCCTGGTGCCGCTAATCTGGTGGCAACCACTACTGCTGATAGATTGAGCATACAAGAAGAAAAATATGTGTATTATCTTTAAAAACTTGAAAGTTCACCTCAAAAATCTTAGAAGCTCGCAATATGTATATAAAATCTCTTATAAGTAAGTTACTCCGGGCAAAAACTGCTGACTCGCTGGCTCAAAATGGAGCCTCGACTGGGCTGATCCCAAAATGCTTATGCCTTTGATCAACTTTGTTCACGAGGTTTAATCCCTGTTGCGTGAGCTGTGTAATAAGAGCGGTCTCCAACTGACAAGCCACACTCTTGTTGGACACTGGCAAGTATAAAAAAGGTGCCTGCTTTAGTCCCATAGACGTACGATGTGAAGCAATTCGTCCAGATAGATTATCCGTCTGTGGCAAAAAATAGGAAACTCCAATCAGCACAAACATGAGAAGAGGAATACTAATGGTACCTGTCCAACGTAAAACTTTCCGTCTGGTCTTTGAAGAATGTAGACGCAAGAGTGATTCGAAGTGAAGGGTGGAGGTTGCTGGCGCGCGCCAACGAAATAACAAGTGCTAGAGAGAACGAAAGTTCCATTCAGCTGGTCCTTGCAGATCCTCAAAACTTCTTGTTCCAGATCCTTCAGATTTCTCGCACCTATAGCAACCAAATACGAATACAAAGCAATGGCACATTCAAACAGAAGAACTGCGAACCTTGGACGCGTGGTACTGATGACGCAGCTGCGTTGCTGTCAAGAGTACTTTCATGGCGCACTTCATTACCGTCTACCATCGGCTTACTTTGCGACAGATGTTTCTTCTGCATCTCTTCGTATAATTCCTTGGCTCTGTCCAAAATCTCTTCCGTCACACCTTCCCCTTTCGCGGTCTCGAAAGCCAAGCTCTCCCTACATTCTCCATCGATGAGCTCCCAGGTCGGTTGTAGCCCGCCTTGTAATACCTTTCTTGTCCCCATTGCTTTCAAGACGACATTGTTGGTGTCGAGCTTCATATCTAGAAGCCCATGAAGGTGAGTAGAGACAATTCCCAGGCAGCCGAGCCTGTCAAAATTCTCCAGAACACTGGCCAATATGCAAGTCCCTTTCTGTACGTCGGTTCCCTTGCAAAGCTCATCTACAAGGACAAGACTTCTCCGAGTTGTCTCAAGTAACAAAGTCTTCAACTCTGCCATTTCCATCTGCAGGGAACAGGTCAAGGTCTTTATCGAAGACCGGAAATGAATGCGACGTACCTGAAATAGGCTTTTGCCTTCCGAGGGACTATCTTGAGAAACCACTCTTAACATGATGGAGTCGAGCTGTGGGATGACAGCTTTAGACGCCGGAACCATAAGGCCACATAATCCCAACAAAGTAGCCGCGCAAACGGATCTCAGCAAACTCGACTTTCCTCCGCCGTTGGGACCCGTAAGAAGAAAAATAGAGCTCATTTCGAACGAGTTTGGTATTGCAAAATCCTGTGTTGAATCTAGCCAATATGGCAAGAGACCAGAGAAAACAAGAGGCTCCTATCAAAGAATTGTCAGTTGAAAGTTCAAAGAACGACAACATAGTACCTGTTCACCACCAAGAACAGGGAACACCCATTTGCGACGTTTTCCCTCACTAATCAAACGTAAAACGTCAGCAAATAGAAGCTATTCAAATAAAATACTGATACCTGGCATGCGCGAAAAAAGCTTTGGCTATCACACAGAACATGGAAATAAAAATTATTGTGTTAAGATACGTCCTTACATCGTCTGAAAGGCATCGGAGTGCCTTAACAACAGCAAAATTTGCTTTAGTTGCGGCTTCTCGATAGCTGGAGGAAAAGTAATTAATATAAAGTAGGAAAGAACAACTCTAAGCTGTACCTCATGACCGCAGACTCTACTCTTCCCGTGGTGTGCCAGTCATCTCCAACTTTTTTGCCTTTGGAGTCTAGCGCAGGAATCAAACGTTTTATTTCTTCCTCACCGGGTGTCTCAGAGCCCCACAGAAGTGGCATAAAACCCTTTCCCTTGAACCAGACCGCTTGATGGTCCGGAACGTAGCAGATTTCACCGTTGCCATTACCGTAGCAGGATCTTACTAAAGACTTTGCCCTTGCCAAAACCGGAAGAAAATCGCCTACAATCTGAACAGTAACATTAAAAGCCAGACGCACACAAAAAACTCACCGCTAAATTGAGTTCTGCAGCTTTTTTGTCAACATCGGCATAAAAATCTTCAGAATGTTTGCGTTGTACGCGACCTTTCCAGCTCGATTCAAAATCAATAAAGAAATCATCCGGAACATGTTCGTACGAATTAATGAGCTGCTCTGGATCGCCCGTACAAGAGATCACAGAACTGATTCTATCAACCAGCTGCTTACAATCAGTCACCTGATACAACATGTGTTAAACCAATGTCGAAAGGAAGCCGATGCTACGTACCAGTTGTTCAGCTTCCAATTGTAAACCACTTGCTAATATAGTGGGCTCAAGAAGCAAATGAAATATGTCTCTCAGACTGTTGTTCTCATGCATGTACAATACATCCTCTGCAAGATGTTTTATGCGCGAAAATTCAAGATGATTGACTTCCCTAGCTCCAATTAGTTTCACCAGCTGCAAAATATGATGATTGAATCAAGTGAGATAAAAGTGCAATGAGTCATACCTTTGCAGCTGATACGCATAAAAACTCCGGAATAGAGCATTTCACAGAAGTCATTAACTTTAGACACTCTGCAACGGAAGTATAGCAAAATAAATATAATGTAGTAGTCAGTTCTCACCTTGAATAGCCGCAGCTGTAGCGTAAGGCGGTGGATTTAATAACAGGTCTCGCAAATACCTATACAAAACAAGCACAAAGCTGTTGCTAATTCACCTCACCAAAGGTATACTACCTGACGCAGAGACTGGTGGTGTCCGACGGTACAAGAACTTTCAGCAAGCTCGGAATTTCCGGCACCGGCAAAATGCCTGGAAGCACAAACATAACTTTCAAACAGCATTCAAAAAACAGCACTAACCAGCTTGAGAGGCTGTCCCCAGGTAAACTGGCCGAGGCCTTTTCAACGACGGCCTTGCAATTTCCCGAAATTCAGCTTGGTCCTCAATGTCATACATCTCCTTAACCTGAAAATGGCAAGGAATATGTGCTGAAAGTAAGCTAGTATATGCACCTTATCTAAGAGAAAGGAAACCGGATCCCGGTCAAACCACTCTACGTCTTTGCCTTTGCATTCTGCCCACAGGAGTGCTCCATCCCCAGAGGATCCCCATTTAACGCTTCCTGTATCATAATTATTACGGAAGGAACATAATAAAGATAACGAAGAGAAACCTGAGGAGTTTCCTCTTAGTGAGCGATGGAGAAAAAGCTGTTGATACTGCACTGATCGCAGTTTCGTGACAAGTGCTTCTTCGGTGAGTCCATCTTCTACAGTATACGTCCTCATCATTTCCAAAACAGAGACGAAAGTGTATCCGCGCACCGATTGAGAGATCCCTGATCCAAACAATTGCGAGTTAAATAGGAAAAATAAAGCTGCGTCAACAACGTTACCAACTACGGGGCATGGCTCTGGAAATTCAAAATCACTATCTGCTGCGGCGAGGCCGTAAATGTACGGACTTCCTGGATGAGCATGGCTGCAGCAGATAGCCATTAAAAAAAGAAGGAAAAGAAAAGAAAAACGAGGACATGGAAAACACACCCTGCAATAAATCTGTCTTTCCGATACTTTGATGGAGCAGCCCCCTGAACCTCTTCCATTACACACTGCAAAAACAATCTCCATCACCAAATTGACCTGAAGGCTAAAAACTCACCACCGAAAGTCCTTGCTGGGTGATATTGTCAAGTGTCTGGCGCAAGTTCTATCAAGACATGCGTTGGATCTAACTTTGAATGCTTAGAATGTAGCATCATACCGCAACAGGGCAGCCTGCTCTTGGAGAAGCATTAACGCGTATACCACCCATTGGATTCAAGCCTGCAAACTCTACCAAGATGCAGGCGTCAAAACCGCACGCTTCATAAAACTCGCCAATCTGCACAAAAAAGGCTAAGGCGATGGATCCATGTAAATAAAAAACGAGAAATATAGTTACTCTACACAGAAGAACTTCTCGAGGAAATTTTCTTTTAGCATCCAGTAGCTCAGCGTTCAGGCTTCCATCTCTTAAGCTGCAAGCACGAGAAAGTTGTAAAGGAAAACACGATGAAAAAATCAATAAAACCTTCCATGACGCAAGTTGGGGTCGAGCCCGAGCAGATTAGTCGGAATCAAAAGCTTTATCATTTCTTTGGTAGTAGGCTTTTGACACAAGTTCATGCGCTGCAGAAAAGCACCAGAAAGAGCAATGTTAGAAGAGAACGAAAGATCTCGGAAAAAGGAGAAAGAAAAACTACTTCTTGCCACCAACAAATATGCTCCTTATCCCGATCATCAACCGGGACGTAGCTCTGCCTCCTTTTCATCTTCACAACGCTTCCACTCATCGTGCTTAGCTTCCCACAGCTCAATCTCCTGCCAAAGATCTTGTGATCATAGAAGAAAGGAAGAAAGAAAACATCCATATTTCCTTGTGCATACCTGGATGCATTGTCGATGGAGAAACCCTGAGATTGGAATCTCGAGGCAACAAGAAAATCCTGCCGCTGCAATCATCCCAAAATAAATCCCGCGACGCAAACATTGCTAGAGCGAGCAAACGATCGAGAACTTACCGCCTGCCTCATCCGATGTAGCGCGCTCCACATCGGGATCGCGCGCGCCTTTCTCTCCCTTCCCGCCTCGTAGGGTTCTTTCTTGCTCTTCCAAGAACAACAACACTATTTCCAGGGTTTAAGGGGCAAAAGATTTTTGTTCGAAAGATATCGTGGTAAGAGAGACTTTTATTTCCCCATGTCATAACATCCCAGGAAGATAGGGTTTTTGCGAAGAGGGAATGCCGAAGAGGACGACGCACACGTACTCTAGCGAAGACGCTGCTCCCGATGGCCCCGACTCCGACCTCTACGTCTACTACTGCAAGCATTGCGGCTCTCACGTACTCATCACAGGTAATCTCGCCGCGGCATTACGCTCTAGAGATTGTTCGCTAGCTATGGCTTTCGCGATACGTTCGCATTGCCCGCATTTGCTTCATCTTTGCGCTGTCGATCGATCAGTCGCATTGCTCGCCCGCATTCGAATGGAATTTCTTTCACAGTGGCTAGCTCGCTTTGCGATTGGCATTGCTCGTTTAGGCTGTTCCTATCCTTTCTCTCAAGGAACGTCTTTGTAACTGTTTTTATTTTTGTTTTGTTTTGTTTTTTTTTTTTGTTTGCTCTTGCGACTAGATACTCAACTACAACGGATGCCCAAGAGAAAAACTGACAAGGCATACGTGCTTGATAAGTCCAAGCACATCGCGAGGCTCAACACGGTAGAAGCCGGGAAGCAAATCCTCAAAAGGTATTCTTTCTTTTTTCTTCAGTGCTAGACTTTGTTGTGACAGCGTTTTACAGGGGAGAAGGAAGAGCTGAGAAGCAGTATCGCATGAAATGCTCCGGCTGCGGCCTCTTCGTGTGTTACCGCGCGGAAGAAGATTTGCAAGCCGCGGAGTTGCTCTACGTGATTGATGGCTCGCTAAGTTCGATGGCAGCGGAAACTAATCCACAGGTATGATCATGTCCTGTGGCGATCAAAGTTCTCACCTGGGACGCTCTAGGACGCTCCTGTGCCGCCGTGCATATCGCAAACAGAAGGTGGTCTGGTGCAAGTAGCGATCGAAGTCGAGGACCGTGCTCAGCGATCTGCGATCACGAGTGAGTGTTTTCGTTTTCTTCCTTTTGAGTATCAGACCTCCTTTGGTGCCTGCTCCAGGAGTTAATGCTGATGATGTTCGTGTGACTGTTGCTGCTCCAGCCGCGAGAGGAGAGGCCAACAACGAACTTCTGGAGTACATGGCAAAGGTAAATCAAACCAAAAAACATTCGCTCGCTATTAAGCCAACTTGTAACAGGTCCTGAGCTTGCGAGTGACGCAAATGACGCTCCAGCGCGGCTGGAACAACAAATCCAAGCTACTCGTGGTGAGTATGATCTCCATCTCGTGCGAAATCCACCTAAAGGTTTCTGTGGCTTCTTTCATCTCTCTCCATTGATGTGCTGGGAGTGTGCCGCGCACCAACTTACAGGTGGAAGACCTCAGCGTCCGCGATGTCTATGAGAAACTCCTGGCCGCTGTACAGCCGAGCTAGCCGGACCAAAGAGACCAACAGGTTCCTGTCCAGAACTCACGTCGGGTCTCGCACCACAGTGGTGGCAAAAGGAAAGGATCTATTTTGCCGCTGAGAGACGACGTCCATTGCTCCAGAAAACACGACGCTGGTTTATGCGATATCCGTGTGGAACCAACAGGGCCGCGGACAATTACGCGCTTCGACATGGATCATACAGGATCTGTTCCTATAAGAATCTCCCAGGCCCGAGGATCATGGAACTGTCCAGAGCAGTCTTTAGAAGTTCGCAAAAAGAAGAGAGAAAAGCTCTAAGTTGTCCAGAGAAGTTCACAAAAGAAAGAGAGAAAAGTTCTAAGCGATCATGGAAGCGTCTGGGAAGAATGCGATCATCCTTGCAGGCGATGCTAACGGAGATATAGAGTCTGGGATTTGCAGAGAAATGGTCGTGACAAATCGTCTCTCGCGGCTCGAGTCGGCAATCCAGCGCATCGAAGGCAAGGTGAATGCGGTGTTTGAGGCGACGAAATCTCCATCGCCACCATCTCCTCCGCCACCAAAGAAGCGCTTCTTCGGCGGGATTGTCACTCACCACCAAGCGTGGTGGCTGCTAATCTTGCCGCTTAACATCGCTTGCATGGGCATTGTGCTTGGAGGGGATCGGACGCGCGCGGATCGAGCGGAGCTGGCCACTACCCTGGCCCTGGCCAACCTCGTGGCCACCGTGGCCATCCGGGACGGTACGGTCCTCCTCTGGCTCTACAAGGCCGTGGTTCGAATCCCCTGGCAGAAGTATTTCTTCAACCGGATGCTCCACTGCAATGGTGGCATCCACACCGGCTGCGCGCTCATGCTGCTCGTGTGGGCGATCATCGCCCTCGTCGAGACGGGCAGCGGCGATCCGGTCGATTGCGCGCTCCTCGCGATGCTCTGCGCCGGCCTCCTCGCGATGATGCTCCTGGCGGTCCAGCCGCTGCGCGAGCGGCACCACAATCTCTTCGAGACGGTTCACAGGTACCTAGGGTGGACGCTCCTCGTGCTGCTCGCTGCGATCCTCGTCAAGGAATTCACGGACATGAGGTGGAGACTGTCCGCGGCGGCGATCGGCAGCGCGGTTCTCATGGGGATCGCGCTGATCTTGGTGTTCTACTCGTGGTTCCTGATCGAGCGCCAGGACGTGGAGGTGAGATCCGGGCGAGAGGGAAACATCGTGGTGGTGAAGATCAAGGGAAAGGCTCGAGCTGGCGCGTTTGCGAAGATCTCCTTCAATCTCGTCGAGTGGCACGCCTTCTCGGTGGCATTCAGCAACAGGGAGAGTGGATCCTACGGCCTCATTGTCGGCGTCGCGGGCGATTGGACCAAGATGCTCGCGCAGAAGTGCACGCCACTGGAGAGGATCATGAGCAGTGCGTCTAGCTTGAGGAAATCGCTCAGCAGGGCATCGAGCTTGAGAATGATGAACAGGGCTTCCAGCATGAGGAAGATCAGCGAGGAGCACAGTACCATCTCGGCAGAGGATCTGATCTCGGCTCCGCCGCCGCCGCCCACCGATCAAGGGATCCAAAACCAGACGGTGAGGGCGTTCATCCGGTGGCACCGCCCACTCGGGTTCATGTACTCTGTCTATGCCTACAAGAGAGTGATCTGCGTGGGCACTGGGGCTGGAATTGCCCCAATCCTCCCACACATTGGCAGCGATCGCGTCGCCATGCACGTCGTCTGGATCGCCAAGAAGCACCGGGAGATTTATGGGGACGAGATTTGCGACCGCGTGTTCCAGCATCCCCACACGATCTATGACACCTCCAAGCAGGGGCGGCCCAGGCCGGAGATCGCATTGCTGGATTACGAGGAGTTTCATCCAGAGGCCATCTTCATTGTCTCAAATGCGCCCTTTACAGAGGCCGTCCGCGATGTGTGCAAGAACAAGCAAATTCCCGCCTTTGGTGCTGTCTTCGATTCGTAACGTGTAATATTATTCTATAACGAGATGACAAACAACAATCATACATCTGAATTATGTATATATTATCTATATTATGTATATATTATGTATATTCTGTTTTGTTTTAGATCTTGCACCCACCAAAAAGCATAAGATCTGTTGGAAACAACTACTTGGACCTGCATCTTTAGTTAAGAAAGGAGAAGGAGAAAGTATTCCCTGCCAACCTTTTCTCTGGCGTGGTACACTACGGAGCACAAGAACGTCTCGCACTTCCATTTCAGACCTCTGCAAGTGCACATAACATATAAGTGAGCACACAAAATTATTGCAAATGCTGGCTCACCTCATTGAGAAGGATCCTTGGTGCTTCTCTGATGAGTGTTTCGCTCATGCACTTTACGTGAACAACCATAATCTCCTTCTCTATGACATATCTGCTCTTTGCATCCAAAAAGTAGGGAATTGCAGTTCCCATCTTCATTTTCACTGTTGTAAACTCTCACTTCTTCTGTGTCGTATACGAACTTGAAGCTGCGTCGTCCACTAGTTCGGATTCAGTCTGCTGATGTGCTTTGGAGCCAACAGCGACGTCCAGGGCAGTCATCTGATATGGCAGCAACGTCGTTTTGACTTGCGTCTTTGGTGCTACTGCCGTGGCCGTCATGGATATCGTGTTGTCTTTTGCTTCTTCCGCGTTCCTTGAGCTCGGACTGGTCCAACGTCTTCAATCAGGGACTGTGGGGAGTCATCCCTTGGAGTTTCAGCAAGACTGTAGATGTTTTCCTTGAGGATGTCTTGGAAGAGCAGCTCGTAACACTCCCTCACCATAACTGGCCTAGGATGTCTAACAGGTAGACCTCTCCCTCTCAAAGCGCCTTGGAGTGATTTGTACACCGTGAGTGAGGCTATGCCATTCACACAAAGATCCAACCTTACCATCTAGCTCGCAAAGAAGAGTTTAATATTATAATACATAATATAATTTTCCAACATAGAATAATTTTCATAATATACAATTTTTTAAAAAAAAATTAACCAATGTGCAAATATATATATATATATATAGAGAGAGAGAGAGAGAGAGAGAGAGAGAGAGAGGGAGAGAGAGAATATTTCTCCAATGCCTTTTATAAGTGTTGTATTTTTTAGAGTTTGTTTTGATATATAATTATGAACTGTAAAGAAAATGACATTAGTTTAGCTAAAGAAGCTTAGCAAATTACTCTCATATACATGTTAGGTTTACTTTCATTTCTAAAATTTTCTAAAGAATCACTTAAAAATGAATAAGTTATAATTGAATTAAAAATTGATAGAAAACTTAATAGTTTTACTGAACAAGCCTAAATTAACTTATTTTTGTTGACTCAACAAATGCTAATATAAATTATTCTTTTATTTCTTTTAGTTTATCTTACTTACTTTGTTTTATGTGAGTGTCTCCAACAGAAATATATAGGGAACATATGATTCCTCATTTTAAATATTTTTGACAAGGAATTTAGTTTTATTGATCGTAAGACTATTAATGAATACCAAAACCATGATTATTTTCTTATAATACATATATAATCTCAAAAATACAAAAAAATTATGAATTCTAATTTATATTTACTTATTATTATGTCTTTTTCTCAGAAGTGCCTTGCGTATCAAACGGCATCGTGTTATAGTTATGACGTCAGTTTCAGCCTTTGTTCCTGTTTCTTACTCTGACTTCCAGGGAATGAAGACTGAGGAGCTTCACGAGAAGCTGACTTCGTTAGCTCGCAGCCTCGCCAGCGTCCTCTCGATGTTTCACCGGAACCCTACGTCCCTCCCTCGTTGCTCTCGCTGCTGCTGCTGTTGGTATGTAGTAGTCGTACTAGTGCCAAGCTCGCCGCTCTTAGCTCCCTCCAGTGGGACGTCACTAGCGTTCCTGGCGATCTGAGAACTTCTCTCCGCGAAGTCATCCACGGTGATGCTGCTCTTGATAGGCGTGGTTTTGGAACCTCTCGCCAGCAACGGACAAGAGAGAAGAGTCGTGCTCGACCTCGTCCTCGGTGCTCCACTCGGTGCCTCGTACTAGATAAGTTTGGTAGACGTCTTTACTTCTCTGGCGTTCTAATCACAGCCCCTGCCTGAGAAGTATCCAAAGAGAAAAGAGAGTTTGCAACCTGTGGTGACGCTAGCAGCAGCAGCAGCATCTCATTCGGTACAGCAGCAGTCTCCGAATCAAGAAATATCAAGTTCAAAGAAGCACACATCAGAAAAACGAAGGAACTTACCACCATGCCAGGCATGGACTAGCCATGGCATTTCTTCGCTCTATTCTTGAGAAGTCTGTTCACTTTCACATCGTAGCCAAAGTAGCACCTCCACTCCTCCAGGGCTGCTTGGTGCTCGTGATGACACCGCTGCTCAGCGATTTTGCACGCTACTTGACCTGCAAAACAAAGCGTGAAGCGCCAAGAGCGGTTGTGTGAGAAAACCACAGAGCTTTAAAGAGATTTAAAGAGATAAAACGAGTAAAAACAACAGGCTAGCATTCACTAAAACGAGAGTGCCTGTCTACAATGGAAAAAAGCACAAGAAAGCAGCGAGAGGTTTCTAACCATGGAATTCTTCTTGCTGCGACAGCTCGAGAAGGTTCCCTCCACTCTACAAGAAAGAAAGAAAAAAGGAAGATTAGCTAGCAAACAGATTTTACCTTAAACTTGCATGTAGCGGACCTGAAACGAGAAAGAGAGACCAAAGAGATCGAAAACTAGAGCGTCCGAAAGAATTGTTACATTGTCCTTCGCAAAATCTATACAACCGCTCGCAAAATCTATACAATTGCTCGCTCAAAACGTGTCAGTCAAAGGAAGGAAGCGAAAGAAAGAAGGAAAGAAAAAGAAGAAAACCGATCGCGCTTCGCTGCCAGCTCGCTGCTTTCCTGCGCTTTGGATCATCCGATCGCCGAGCTGCAAGGCAAGAGACCTGTGAGCGCGAGATCTGGCATTTCCCCTTTACCACTCACATTAATCTTCCCTCGGAACCAAGCCGACTGGATTTAAGGAGACTGTGCACCCATTCTTGAGCACCTTGAACGCGCCGATTGTGTCGATGCCGCGATCCAAAGAAGCCACTCCGCGGTCGAACGACGCCACAGCAGAATCGAACGATTCCTTGAAGGATTTCGCAGAGGAATCGAGCGATTCCTTCATGGAGCTCGCAGAATCCGACAGCGACTTCGCCGCATCTGTCAGGGACCGGCCGAGGAAGAATGTTGCTGCCGCCATTGCCGTTGCGGCGCCAAGGATGGCCACCGCCAAGACCCCGTGTTTGCGCCAGGAAGAACACCCCATCTCTCTCGCTAGCTCTATCTGGACATAAACCCTAGGGAAATAAAGCTCCTCACTTTTTGCCCTTATATAAACAAAATGGAGAATAAAGCATATCCAATTCCTAGACTCTAGCGAATCGCCTAGAGTGGAGTCTCCTCTCGTAGGATGATGCTCTAGCATCTGGCGGAAGACGAGACGCTCATCAGTGACGGTCTCGGGCTCTTGCAATGCTGCCATACCTCCTTACATGCGTTTCCAACGGGGATTTCGTCTTCCACGTCGCTGTTGGTTTCACTGCTCGTAACCAGTCGATCTCCGGCTCGTTGGTTTGTCTCCGGCTTGCTGCATCTTCCACAACAGCTCTGGAGCTGAGCAAGATGACCGCTTCCAGAGCTTCACGAGAGCGAACGGTCGAGGGGTTGGGAGCAAGCGTTCAAAGGTAACTTCGTCCGGCTTGTATCCACTTCACAAAACGACTTCTCTCCTCCTGGGGACCCAATCTTGAGCCACAGTCACCTAGGAAAACAGATCGTAGACTGAAAAACGATGCTATGCTCGCAGGGCCGGCAGGAATGGTGATCCTTGTGAACAAGCAAAAACACAAAGAAACTTAGAAAGAATGAAGCTCTCGCTTACCTTGATCCTCAAGAGCCTCGTTACTGGCCTTCGTCGCCACCAGCAACCATCGCGGCAGAAATGTTAACACCATTCTTCTCGGCTTCAGAGTCGTATTGTCGTGTCACCAGGTGGAGAGAGGCGTTGTCTCTCATATCTGAAAAAAACTAGAAACTCGTTTCAAAGTTAATGAGAATGAGCTTCAACCTGGTAGGATCACGCATGATGTCCTCCTGGGCCTTGCATCCTTGTAAGGGAAAGTAACAGCTCCCTAGCTTGAGAGGATTCAAGAGATCTTACTCGACTTCTCTGTGAAAGAAGCCCACTCACCTTCCAAGCCTCATCCATGCTCACAATGGCCTTTCCCTGTTTGCGGCCTCTTGCAAGAGCTCAAAGTTGTTTGAGCTGCATCTTCCGGAAATAGCAGAAAATTTCTTCGTAGCCGGCGCAGTTGACGTGAGCCGAGAATCCAGCAGTCCACAGCATCGCATCGAACCGGATCATCCGGTCCAAAACTTCCACTGCTTCCACCACGCACTTCCTGTCTGGACAACAACATCATCCTCATGACCAGCCTCAGCAGCAAGAGTATCGTGAACAAGCTTACCATGTCGTAGAGACTCGAGGCTAGAGATGGCCGCCAACACAGTCAAGAAAGTCGGTCTACTCTCCACACTGCAGCATCTCCCAGGAGAGCTCCATCGCCTCCTCCATTGCGATCATGCTGGACGAATGCTCCCATGACAGAGTTCCAGGCCACGGTGTTCCATTCCTCCATGCTCTGGAACATCAAACAAGCATCGTTTAGACTGCCACACTTTCCATACATGGTGACGTAAGAAAGTCCGAGTTGCAAGAGAGATAAGCGTGGATCTTCTTACCATTTTCCAGATTCCTCGGTGCGAGCCCATTCCGGGAATAAGCCGGTGTCGGCGTGGTCCAGGTCGTCTCCAGCAGCTGGTAGAACACCGATGAGGAGCGTTGCTGCCCCTTGCGAAATCGGCTGCATTGCCGATCGACGAACCTGGTCGGTCGATCTGGACGGAGGAGCTCCGGATTATCGATCGATCGTAAGAGATCAAAAACCCTATCATCGAGAAGCATTTCGAAAAACCCTACCTCAGTTCAAATTTCTTGGCGTTGGAGAAAATGCCCCCTTTAACTAAGCATTTACTTACAAATGAAATGGAGTAGTTTTGCCGGACGTTGGTCTCGAACCAGAGACTCCGTACGGCAAACAAAATGATTTAATCTCTTGCCTGACCAATCCGTACGGATCCAATTCGTTTGACTTAACAGTAACTATCGGTGGAATATCCCAGCTAGCTTGTAATCTGTGCGTCTCTCTCGGCTCGTCCGCTCTCTCCGCCACGCAAAGGTAAGCTGCTTCTTCAAACACTCGAAAAGAGAAGTTCTTCCTGGATGATCGTCGGGCTTCTTTCTTGTATTTCCTTGTTCTCGTGTCCTCCTGAGCGCTGCCTTTCTCGTTTCTTGACAGGATGATCCCAGGCAGCACCACCATCAACAGCGGCAGTGCCCAGCAGAAGACTTCGGCGCCAGTGGCTCCCGTCGTCCTCCTCGCCATCGTGTTTGCTCTGCTAGCTTCACCGCTCTACACGGACGACGTCTATCTCCTCGTTGCCTCTCAGCTCCTGAAGAGCATTTCCCTGCTGGTGCTACTCGTCCCCCTCTTTCTCCTCCTGGCTGTTCAGCTCATGTCTCTCCCGGCCTCAAAGCCGGCACCGCCTTCCAAGACCGTGCCTTTCTCTGAAGTAGGAGGCTCTCCTGTTGGCCTGGCCTTCATGGTCGTCTTTATCCTGGCCGTGATCTGGTGGCAGCCCGGTTTCTAGATCACGCTGCCGTGAATCTTCTCTATGTAGCACCTCGGTCTCAGTTTCGAAGAGTTTATAAAACTGGTTGCCAGTTAACCGACTTGACAAGTTCCTGCGTTCAATGTAGTTTTAGCTTCTAAGAAAAAACGAAGAGTAGAAAATGAGAACAAAACTCTGAGCAGTGAGATACTTCCAGCGGATAAAATACAAAACTGGCGCACCGCAGGGCAGGCAGCAACTGACTGCCCACTTGCTAACGGGGGACATTACAGCGCGATCGTCTCTCAATAACCGTAACCTGAAAAGCCAGTGTGTTGGTGAGCGTAAACTATGGTATTCTAAGTCGAGCTCAGGCTCTTCGTACCTGAGTTGTCCATTGGGTTCCCTGCCGGAACAGCAGGCTCTGGTTCCGGGATGGATACGACTACTGCGTCTGATGTGAGGAAGGTCCTTGCTACGGAGCCTGCGTGCTCTAAACAGCACCTGACTACCTACATGTGCCAAATTTGTGCGAGAATTACAACGTGAAATAATTCTTTTTAAGCATTGGGATTCCTTGGGAACGAAGCATACCTTGGTTGGATCAATGATTCCTGCCGCCATGAGATTCTCAAATGCACCAGTCGCAGCATTATAACCGTGGTTAAAGTTATCGTCGGCAAGGACCTGCACACACCGGCAGTCAAAACTCAAGCCAAGCCGCAGGTACAAAGTCTTACTTTCTCAACGATAACGCTGCCGTTAACACCAGCATTTTTTGCGATGAGCTTCACGGGATAGCTCAAGGCTTTCCTCACAATTTCGGCTCCAATCTGAAACAGGTACTTGACTTTCAGAGGGAGGGTCAAAGCTTTCTGAAGTGGCCTCACCTTTTGCTCGTCATTCTCAAGGGTATCCTTGATGGCATCAACCTTGCTAGACAGTCTTAGAAGAGCAATTCCCCCACCGACAACGATGCCTTCTTCAACAGCAGCCTGCAATTTAAACACTTACACCACAATATTCCAGAATCCAATCTATTTACCTTCGTCGCATTCAAAGCATCTTCCACTCTTAACTTCTTTTCTTTTAATTCTGTCTCAGTTTGTGCACCAACCTTCAATTTACAGAGAAGTTAAAGATGTGCTGCTAAAAATACTGCAAAATAAACTTACCTGGATTACAGCAACTCCTCCAGACAATTTAGCTATTCTTTCGTTCAATTTTTCTCTTTCGTAGTCTTGCTCGGTGGCCTACAAGCGAAGGGCTTAAAACTTCAAAAAGGTATCATAACGTATTATGTACCTCGAGCTGATTTTTTATTTGGTTGACACGCTTACTGACGGCTTCCTGTGTGCTTCCATCTCCAACAATTGTTGAGTAGTCCTTTGTGATTACCACTTTTGAAGCAGTACCAAGAACTTCGGATCCCACTTTGTCCAGTTGCAGACCAACTTCATCCTTCACAACAGTGCCTGCTCAGAACAAAGAACTAAGTACAACAAATAAAAGATAAAAATGGTCGATTTACCTCCAGTAAGAGTAGCGATATCCTCCAAATACTGGCTCTTCCTCTCGCCGAATCCTGGAGCTTTGATAGCAGCAACTTTAAGATTTCCACGAATTCGGTTCACAACCAGAGTAGCAAGTGCCTCTTGTTCAATATCTTCCGCGATAATAAGAAGAGGACTTCCAGCACGAATGGCGTCTTCAAGGATGGATACTATATCTCGAGCATTTGTGATCTTCTTGTCAACTAGCAGTAACTGTAACGAACATTAATAAGGAAGAAACAAAAAGAACAGATTCCGTTTACCTTGCAATTCTGATATTCCACGGCCATTTTCTCTGTGTCTGTCACAAAGTAAGGTGATATGTATCCCCGATCGAACTGCATTCCTTCAACGAATTGTAGTGTACTCTCAGCACTTCTTCCCTCCTCAAGTGTGACCACGCCTTTCCTCCCAACTCTTTTCATGGCTTCAGCAATCATGTCCCCGATCTCGTAGTTGTTTCCCGCGCTCACAGCTGCTACATCTGCAAGTTCGCTGTCCTCGACCTACACGCAAAACGCTTAAGAAAAATATACAACCGAAGCCACGAGAAAAAACCCACCTCTTTCGACAAAGTCTTGAGTTCCTTGACAAGGCCTGCAATGACCTTGTCAATACCTCGAGCAATTTGTATAGGATTAGCTCCCGCTGCGACTAGCTGCAAATTACTCTCCACATTGCCTCATGAAAATTCCATGAACTTGAGAAAAATCAAACCTTGACACCCTCGTTTATAAGTCCTTGTGCCAAAACCACGGACGTGGTGGTTCCATCACCAGCCAAGTCATTTGTTTTCGACGCAGCTTGTCTTACAAGCCGCGCACCAATGTTCTCGACTGCATCTTCCAGCTCCACCTGCAAACAAAGAGCAAAAGCACAAAAGACTTTGTAGCCGCATTTTAACTTTTCCCTCTACCTCTTTGGCAACAGTGACTCCATCGTTGACAATCTTTGGAGATCCATACTTGCTCTCGAGCACCACGTTTCTTCCCTTGGGACCCAAAGTAACTCCCACTAAATTGGCCACTTTGTTTGCACCAGCCTATTATAGGGAGACTTAAAATCAAACCAATCCATCCAGCAATCCATAATCTCACCTGGAGCTTCTTCATGGCCGATCCATCCTTGTTGAAGAACAGCTGCTTCGCCGCTCGCGTCCTCACGACCGGCGCCCGGCAGCGAAGTCCGCCGCTCCTGCTGCGCTGCCGAAAATCCTGGAACGAAACCCGTCCAAAAGCTGTGGATTGCGCAAACGAGGACGAGAAGAGCGCCGTCGACGGCGAATTCAGCGAAGCAGCAGCCGCATGAGATGCCGCCATTGCTCGCTCTCTCGCGGACGAACGAAATAAGAATGCCTATCTAGAACCTTCTGGGCTAGGGTTTTAGCAAGCTAGGCGATTCCTCCGCCGTCCATTCGCTTCGCAAGATCGTGCGGTGGAGATCTGATTTTACTATCTTCGTTTAAACACGAAGACTGCCCCTCTGGAGCCTCTTCCCAGCCTGATTTTCTCGTCCACGTACAGAACAGCGATCTTAACTTTGCTGCTCTTGCCATACTGCGCTTCGATCGGGCCAAGCTTTAGAAATGGAGGATCAAACGTTATCTCGATCCATTTCTCGTCCAGAGCTACCAGCTTGCCTGAAAAGAACGAGTGGAAAGATCTAGCTTTGTTCTATGGCATGCAAGAGGAAGCAGTACCTTTGAGAGAGACTTGGCCTTTGAGGATTCCAAGCAGAGAGAACGAGACTGAATTGCCCACAAAGTCGGGAGCTTTCACAGTCTGGATCATTGCTTCGGTTGCGAGGAAAAATCTTCCCAGCGCGCTGCGGTAGTAGCCTCCAGGGGCTGTTGGATTGGAGCAGTACTCCACATCCCAGTCTGCAAAATCGAAGAACATAGAGCATTTGTTCGTGGTTCTTTCAAGAGATACGAATTGGTACCTCCGAAGATCAATGGACTTTGTAAAGGCTCTGGAGGAATGTTTAATCCTTCGAGCTTGCGGACAATCTCCGCAACGCTCTGGTGATGCTCACTGCGCAATGCTGCTCCTCGATCCGAGCTTTGCACCTAAGAAAACTCTAAGCAAGAAAAGAGAAGAGATTATAAGAAAGAAAAACTCACAGACCATGGAGAGGAGCTGCTCTACCAATCCATTCGCCTCCTCCGCCCCTATCGCGACACCCCCGTCGGCAATCGCTCCGACACGCCGGGTACTTTGCAAGATTTCTCGACATTGGAAGCCACTGCTCCTCAAATTGGTGCTCCTGGACGAACTAGCGCTGCTGGAACTAAGCCGAGGCCTCCTGAATGCCACCAGACCATGGGACAATGCAGCAGTGCTGGGCGCCATGGAGGAGCAAGAATGCGATCGATGGTGAAATCTCTGGAGCGAGAGCTCGATCGATCGTCCCAATGCCATGCCCTTCCCTCTCTCCCGGCAAGGTAAATTATCTTTTATCGTGTTAAAATAGTTACAAACGGAACTTTACAATAGCTCTGCCGTACATTGTCAATGGCTGTAGCGCCATACGGACAGAGTTTTACTCCCAGCGAGCGAGCAAGCCAAAACTTTTAGCGCTCCTCCTTGCTGTAAAAAATGCAAACACACAAACAAACCGGCCAGAGAAGGCGTTAAAATCAAAAACTGAGAAAGAGCATCACTTGAGCACGATATAGCTTGCTCCATCTCTTTTCTGGATGCGAGATATCTTTTTGAGCACCATGGCGAACGCGTTCTTCTCCTGGAGAACAAGAAAAAACAGGCAAAATCATCAAACTCCCGGGAGCAAAGATGAAGAACAGGATGTTACCTCTTTGTTCTTTAGCCTGCTCCGGAACCTGGCCACGAGATCCTGGCTCTTCATCGGACCCGAGTCCTTGAGCACTGCTTTCACTTCTTCCTCGAGAGCTGAGCTAGCGGACGAAGTAGAAGCTCCCGCGGCTGGTTTTGCTGCTTCCTTCTTGGGAGCGTCTTTCTTTACTGTAGAGGGGCTTTCCTTCTTTACTGCTGGCACCTCCTTCTTCGTCTACAAAAGAGAAAACGAGGTAACGAGCTCATGAGTCTGGCGATTAGATCCGGTACCTCTGTCTTGGACTTTTTGGATGCTGCGGCAGTCTTTCCGTCATCCACCTTTCGCTTGTTCTTTGAAGCAGCAGAAGGGCCTCCAGGAGGACGCGCATTAGCAGACTTCGTTGGAGTAGCGTCGCCCGCTTCGTCCTTGTGTTTCGGAGCCAGGACTGGAGAGCTGATGTTCTCGTTGTCCAGATCCATCTGCAAAGAAAGAAAGAACTGTCAAAGAAGCGCTGAAAACGTTCGCGAGAGCTTACATCCTCGTCCTCCTCATCGTCGTCGTCCTCCGATTCTTCAAGGCCCCCCGACTTGCCAAGCAGCTTCTTCATGTCACGTCCAGACTGACTCAGGGCGTTTTCACCCTGCTGAGGCTGTCCTCCTTCCTCAGCTTCTATCTCATCCTCTTCCTGGTAAAATCGAGACAGATATCAAACCACCACAAGAAAGCAGGAGACCGTTCTTGCCTGTTTGATTTCCGGTGGAGCAGGAACATCTGGTTGCTCATCTCTCTCCTCGGGGTCATTACCAACGGCTTCGTCATCATCCGTGAAAGTTTCCTCGTGCTCCCAGTCGTCACCTGAGATACTTCTATAAAAACCGAGAGCCTGGAAAACTCAAATGCCATACCTCTGTCAACTTCGTCTTCCGGATCAAAATCTTCGGGCTTGGCGAGATCATCGTCCTCGGCAACTTTAGTTCCTTTCTTCTTATCGTCATCATCTTCCTTCCGCTGCCTTCCAGTCTTTTCAACTTCGCCAAACGCCGCCGCACCATTTGCCGCCTTCATGATCCACCTCTGATATCCGTCCGCGGTCTTGCGACGGTTCTTCATCTGCTCCTCGGCTTCCTCGAGCGTAAGTTGTTTGTACTGGACGAGTTTGTGAAAATTAAACCTGGCCGAGCCTGTGAGCAAAGGAACTAAATCTCTCAGAACTTACCATGAACCCGCTGGGAACGCATGAAAGTCCCTCCCACTCTTCATGAGAATGTAGTAGGTCGCTTGTTGGCCGCCTTCAAGCTGGCCCTGGAACTGGTACGCACCAGTGTCGTCCTCCAAAATCCATGGCTTGGACTTGAGCTTCTCAGCAGTGATCTTAAACTTCTCCTGGAAAGATGAAGCTAAGAAGCTATACGAATGAAAGTGGAGGATTTCACATACTCTGGCTGGGTCAGTCGGCCTGGGAATATCCTTCCTCATGGTCCAGTGGAGGTTATTCTTCGTCGAGAACAGAGGCAAGCCCTGGGAAAATCGTCCTAGAAAGCACTGCTTTGGGTTGGGCGCTCGCTTCACCTTGTACTCCTACAGACCCCGATCGATTGCTATTCTAGAAATCTAGAAGCAATGGCTACCTTGATCAGTGTAGTGACGGTAGCACCGCACAGGCCGCACGACGCTTTCGCCTCGGCCATGGATTTCCCGCAAGCCATACATAGGGTCATATGCCGGCACGACGCCGCGAAGAGCTCATTGGAAGCGCCGGGAGCTCCACATCTCTCACAGTTCGATCGCAGGACGAGATCGCCACTCGCGGCAGCGCCAGGGACAGCGTGCATCATCGTCAGAGGAAAATCAAAATGCCCTAGCTACTTTAAATTAGGGTTCTTCGTATTTGTATTGGGGGGTTTAGGGTTCTAGGAAATAGGCGAAATGCTAAAGGGCGCGGTGCGCTGGAGCAAGAAGCGCCTGGATCTCCAGGCCGTGATGGCGGCGCTGGATGAGGGCACCAAGCGAGGAGCATCGATCGACGAGGCAATGGCGAGCTTTAACGCCGCATTCTTGGAGCCGCGCCTTGTAGGTAGTGTGATCCGGCGAGTCCCCAGCTTAGCACTAGCGAGGAAGTTCTTCGATTGGTCTAGCAAGCAAGAGGGATACAGGCACGACGTCTACTGCTACACGAGACTGCTCCATCACCTCGTTCGAGCTCGCCGGACGAGAGAAGCGGTGAGATTCTTCAAGCGCGAGCTGTGCGCTCACTGCCGCCCAAGCCTCTACAGCTTCACGATCATCATCCAGTGCTTTTGCAACGTCAGGAATCCGGGGAGAGCTTGGAGATACCTCGGCTACATGAGATCGCTGGGAATTCCACCGGATGTCACTGCTTACAACGTTGTTCTCAAAGGCTACTGTGATCTCGGTAGAGTCGGGAGAGCGCTGATCAAGTTTGGAAAGATGGGCAAGACTTGCAAGCCCAACGTCGCGACTTACAACACCGTGATCAATGGCCTTTGCAAGTTTGGGAAGATCGACTGGGCCGTGTTCTTGTTCGAGAGGATGACCGGAGTGGAAGGATTGAGTTACTCCTACGAAGGTGACAAGACTATCATGAAATACAGGCATCTCTTCACCAGGCTTCCTCACGACTTGGTCGATCCGGATGGCTTCACTTACAGCACTTTGGTACACGGGCTATGCCAGGCCGAGAGACTGGAGGCCGCGATCAAAGTTTACGACATGATGCTGGAAGCCAACTACGATGGCGATGCCGGTGCTTACAACGCCATGGCCGATGGGTTTTGCAAGGAAAGGAGGGTGGACGAAGCTTTAGAGGTTTTGAAGACGATGATCCAGAGACGCTGCAAGCCGAGCGTGGTGACATACAACTGCATCATCAATGGTGTGTGCCAGTACAAGAACAGGATCGAGGAAGCTTATCGACTGTTTCAGCAGATGGTTGGAAGTGATTGTCCTCCGAATGCGGTCACTTACGGCACTATGATTCTCGGGCTCAGCAAGATTTACGAGGTCCAGCGCTGCTTGGAGCTTTTCAAAGGTATGAGCAAGGCTGGCTTGAGTCCCGACGGCTACGCCTATCACTCACTTATCTACGCGTTTGTCAAGGTACGCAAGCTCGACGAGGCAAAGTCGATCTTACAGGACGCCGCGAGAAACCATGTTGGTCCGGACGTGTACATGTACACGACGCTCATCAGCGGCTACTGCCGAGCTCGAAAGCCGAGGGTTGACGAGGCTTTGCTTCTCTTCCAAAACATGAAGGACAGGAGGGTGTGGCCAAACGTGATCACGTACAACATCGTGCTGCGAGGCCTTTGCAAGACTGGTCGATTCGACGAGGCTTACCAGATTTTCCAGGAGATGTTCAAAGTGAAATGCAGCCCGAACCGGATGACTTTCAAAGTCATGACCATGGGAATGATTCACTGCAGGAAAACGGACAAGTTTGAGAGGATTTTTATGGATATGGTGTACAAAGGACGGTGGCAAGGGGAGGGCCCGATACTAGAACAACACGGGTTGATCGGTGTCACGGACGAGGCGAGGAGGTAAGATCATTCTCCATCGAGTTTTTAGAAGTTAACACTTTGTAAATTCGCTCTTGTGTTTTTGCAGGGAATTTTTCATAAAGGCTGCTGCTTCCAGGGAACCTGGAAATCCGGTCGAGGCTATTCTCAAGGGCCAATACTACTAGTTTTCCACAACACGGACAAGATCTTCAGGTTCGTTCTGTACAACCGTTTTATTTTTCTTACTTTTTCTATTCTTTGCCTTTTCAGCATTTCAATTTTACCAAGTTCGACTAGCGAATGAGAACCAAATCTCCCGTCGTCGACTTTTAGAACTCTCGCTCTGATTCAAACCAACTGAAGTTTCAGCCGAATTTACATGACGTGGAGCTTATGTGTCGAGCATCTTCGCCACGTCATTGCAGCTTCGAACTGTGACTAGGTATGGCTGGAGCTGGGCTTGGCATCGCATTTGGAGGCAGCTCTTTCTTTGTTCGAGAACAGCCGGTCTTCAGGTGAGGAAGAGCATCTTTTCTCTCGTTTTGATTGTGGACTCTTCTGTGATAGAATTATGGCGACTTCCATGAAATCGGCACCTCTACAAATTCCATCCAAGAAAGTTGTGGTAAGCTCCTTCCTCGTGGGTTTTATCCAATTGGATGAATTTTTTGCTTTTCTAGCTGGGATGTGGAACGGTGGTGATCGACTATCTAGCTAGCGTGTCCGCTTTCCCTCAACCCGATGACAAGATACGATCTATCGATTTTCAGGTGCTGCATTTTAGTTCTTCTGTTTCATCTTCTAAGCTTTCCATTTGCAGTTTCAAGGCGGTGGAAACGTAGGGAACTCCTTGACTGGTGCCGCAAGGCTAGGATTGAAACCAGTGCTTATCTCTAAAGTACTCTCACTGTCCTTTTACAATCCTATTTTCTTAAGTGAAGCGGTGGTTTTGCCAGGTTGCAGATGATGCATTGGGCCTCAGAATTTTAGAAGAGCTGAAGAAAGACGGAGTTGATACTTCTCATGTTGTGGTCTGTATGCTGCATTGCATACACTATGTTCAATTTTCGGTCAGTGCAGGTGGCTAAGGGGGGTGTCTCACCATTCACTTACATCATCATCGACAAAGAGAGGTAACACTTTCAGCACCTTTTGTTTCAGTTTGATTGACTTTAAAGATACATGGCAGGTTAACAAGGACGTGTATCCACACTCCTGGACATCCTCCTATGTTGCCGACAGAGATAGACACGGCCACACTTTCCAGCGTCTTGCAGGGAACAGATCTTGTGTTTTTTGACTGTCGACTCACCGACACAGCCGTTAAAATTGCGAAGATGGTACGCGCTTTGAAAAGAAGATGTCATGCGTCAAGCTAATGGGACCCCTTTTGCAGGCTACGGAGCTAAAACTTCCCATTCTCGTGGACGCTGAAAAGAAGAGAGAATTTTTGGATGAGCTACTTGTCTACTGCGACTACATGGTTGCTTCATCACGGTTTCCGGAGGTTCGTCTTGAATTCTCGCTATCCTCTAAACTGGTGCACTCACGTCGTTGGTCAGGCATGGACGAACTCGAAAAACCTTGCTGAAGCACTACTTTGTGTAGCCTCAAAACTGCCGAAGTTGAAGTTTATAATTGTCACACTCGGGGCAGAGGGTTGCGTTATGCTTGAAAGAAGTACAACTAGTAAGTTCTGGCTACTGTTTTCCGTAGTTACCGTTTCGTTCTTTATTTTCAGCTGACCATGGAGAGACCATGGATGTCAATCAAACTCTCGACTCCTTACGGCAACAAGTATCCGCAATCAAGAGTCCTCAACCTCGCGTCGTATCGTCCAAGGTCTGGAAGAACTTCGTGTGGTTTTACTATATCTAATAGTTCGTGTGTACTTGATTTATACAGATGGGACGGCTTGTACCTTCGACTGGCTCAAGAATTGCGATTTTTGGAAGACTGATTGTTGGAACAGCTCAGGAGGTACCCGCGGCTCAACTGGCGGACACAACTGGAGCTGGCGATGCATTTGTTGGAGCTGTCATGTACTGTAAGGACGTTTTGCTCTCCTCCTTGTTTTGTGTCATTATAAGACGCGGCAAGGCTTGCTTGCAGCTCTATGCGCGGGATTCACTGCGGAACGGATGCTTCCTTTTGCAGCGACAGTGGTAATTGCTCTCAAGCTCTTGGTCGTGAATTATATGTTATACTTCGACCTTCTTCTTGCATATAAATTCGTCATGAAGCCTCTTTTCTCTCAGTGATCTTGCATTTCTAAAGCTCTTGTTCTTCGTTCTTATGTTCTTCCGTAAAGTTCATGTCTTTTCAAGTTCGCACAGACTGTTATCTTCTCAAATTCTCGAGCTAAAGTTTGGATTTCGTGTTTGATTCATTTTAGGCCGCTGCGAATTGCCAGGCTGTTGGAGCTCGTGCCGGTCTGCCAAGGCGAGACGATGCAAGGATCCTCCACATGCTACTCTGACAGGAGGTCGGGCGTTCGAATCCTGGGGCAGGCATCACAAAGATTTTAGAGTTATGCTTTGTTTTATTTTGTTGAGGCTAGGGTTTTTGCGATCTTTGTGGCAGCGTCTCCAATGATCCAGGTAGCCGTGATGCTCGCGTAGGGCCGATTCTACAGCGCCAGAGTAGTCTAGGGTTCTTGACGCAGCCATGGCGAATCTCACCGTCGGCTTGATTCTTGAGAAGGTGAGCTGTGTGGTTTGTCGGGGCTGGATTTCTCACGAATTTCTCGTGTAGATTGCGTCCAAGGACAAGGATTATCGGTATATGGCCACCTCCGATCTTCTCAATGAACTCCAGAAGGAGTCTTTTAAGGCCGACTCCGAGACCGAGAGGAAGGTGTCGCAGATTGTCCTCCAGCAGCTGGATGATGCCTCCGGGGATATTTCTGGAATCGCTGTGAAGTGGTACGTATATTTCTTGCGCTTCGTTTCGTTTCTAAGTTTTAGTTTGATGGTTTTTTTTTTCTTTTCTTTTTTCCTCAGCTTGGGTCCTCTAGTGAAGAAGGTAAATGAGAACAAAATCGTGGAGATTGTAGAGTCGCTTTGCACGAGGCTACTCACAGGAAAAGACCATCAGCGCGACATTGCCAGCATTGCTCTCAAGACTGTGGTGTCTGAGATCGCCAGTGGAACTGTTGCGCAGTGTGTCGTGGCTGCGTTGACACCGAAGCTGATCAAAGGCATCACTGCAACGGTGAGTTTACGCAATGTAGATCAGAAGATGGTTCGCCTGAGTTAATTTTTTTTTTTTCAGGACACGAGTACAGAGGTGAAGAGTGAATGCTTGGACATTCTTTGTGATGTTCTTCACCGGTTTGGGGCACTTCTAGTCCCAGAACACGAAAAGTTACTCAACGCCTTACTTGTGCAACTAAACTTGCAACGAGCTGGTCTGAGAAAACGTGCAATTCAGTGTTTAGGTACGAAGCTATTTTTCCACAAATGTACATCAACTTATCTTTTCTCGCGTAGCGACTTTGGCTGCTTGTATGTCCGATGATCTGTTGGGAAGGGCAACCGTCAGCGTGGTTGACTTGTTGAAGAATAAGGATGTGAAGCCCGACATGACTAGGACCAACATCCAAATGATCTGCGCCTTCTGGTATGACTGAGAAAATGTTTCAAGTATACTTTATTTTCCTTTACTGTACTTTTGTTTGTAGCCGTGCCGTGGGTTATCGTTTTGGGCCACATTTAAATGAAGTAGTTCCACTTCTAATAAGTTACTGTCAAAACGCCTCAGAAAATGACGATGAGCTTCGAGAAAACAGTCTGCAGGTTTGTGAAGTTTTTAAATTAGTCTTGCAAGGATTATCTGTTTGCACAGGCGCTGGAAAGTTTCGTGTTGCGCTGTCCACGAGATGTGGCAGAACATTGTGGCACCATTCTTGATCTCGCTCTGGAGTACTTGAGTTATGATCCCAATTTCACCGATGATATGGAGGAAGATCAGGATGAAGACATGGATGGCGAAGAAGAGGACGATGAGTAGGTTTTTATTACGTTTCCCCATCCTGCTGAAGTATTAAGAGCTATGTCTCAGGGAGAGCGCTGACGAGTACAGTGACGATGAAGATGTAAGCTGGAAGGTGCGGAGAGCTGCAGCAAAATGCCTTTCTGCAGTTATCTCATCGAGACCGGAGATGCTTTCGACACTTTACAGCAAGGTCCGTAAGTCTGCTCTCAAATGTTTCATACTCATCGATTTTTTTCAGGCATGCCCAAGGCTTATTGATAGATTTCGCGAAAGAGAAGAAAATGTGAAGGTAGCAACGTCACATTTGTTCTTGTTGAAGATCTCACTCTGAATAACAGATTGACGTGTTCAATGCATTCATTGATCTCTTGCGTCAAACTGGCAACGTGACAAAAGCGTCGTCTGAGATTAATCCATCAAGGTTTGTTCAATATGATTTTGAGTTGTTTAAATAACTTCAGTATGCAGTCCTTTATATATGCTTCAACAAGAAGTTCCAAAGGTTGTCAGAACTTTAAATCGTCAACTTCGTGAAAAATCGGTGAAAACAAGGGTATGGATGATTACTAGATCGATTCGTGGTTCTAAATTAGCTTTACGAAGGTGGGGGCATTTTCTGTGCTAAAAGAACTTGTGGTCGTTCTTCCCAATTGCTTATCGGACCACATGGCCTCGTTGCTGCCTGGAGTGGAGAAAGCTTTAAATGTCAGTACAGTTAATTGGCCTTTTGGATTTGAATCTAATTTTTTGGTCCCGCAGGATAAATCCTCCAACTCTAATCTGAAGATTGAGGCTTTGACATTTACACGATTGGTCATGCCGTCTCATTCTCCTTCAGTTTTCCATCCACACATTCAGGTTTGGTTCGCGCTGACGATTGTCATTTAATTTAACCAGTTGTTGCAGGCTCTCTCCGGTCCAGTTCTTGCTGCTGTTAATGAGCGTTATTATAAAGTTACTGCTGAAGCCTTACGTGTTTGTGGAGAGCTCGTGAAAGCCATTCGCCCTGATCAAGGTTCGACCTTCAACTTTGTACCGTATGTTCAACCTATTTACGGTGCAATATTGAAGCGCCTGACCGCTCAAGATCAAGATCAGGTATTTACAAACCTTAACCTGGACTTCCATTGATCTGAGCAAGACACTGCAGGAAGTTAAAGAATGCGCCATATTTTGTATGGGGCTGGTTGTTTCTATCCTTGGAGACAAGCTTGAGCGGGAACTTCCTGTTTCTTTGTCATTGCTTCTCGATCGCCTACGGAATGAGATCACACGGCTGACAGCTGTCAAGGTAAATTTTTCTTTATTCGCTGCCGGCCGTCAATAGTTCCTATTATGAAGGCATTTGCAACGATCGCGGAATCTCCGTTAAAGATCAACCTTAATGCCGTACTTGAACAAGTGATTGCGGAGCTAACGACGTTCTTGCGAAAGGTAACTTCACAAGCACCGAACTGTACCGCGGTACTTACCATACTTTTCTCGGCAGGCAAATAGAGCTTTGCGGCAAGCGTCTCTTGGTACTTTAAATGCTTTATTAGTTTCTTATGGTGATAAAATTGGTAATGCAAGCTACGATTCCATCATCACAGAGTTATCTGCGTTGATCAGGTCTATCTCGATTATTCTGTCTGAAACATGTGAATCTTTCTCTATTTTTTTCAGTGATGCGGACTTGCATATGGCAGCATTAGCTCTTGAGTTGTGTTGTACAATGATGGCTGATAAGAAGCATCATATTAGCGCTGGCAATGCTGTTCGCGAAAAAGTTCTGCCACAAGCTCTTGTTCTCGTAAGAAGTTCATTGCTTCAAGGACAAGCTTTACAGGTACTGAAGAATTCTTTTACTGCGTTTCCTAACCCACTTTTATGTCAGACTTTGCAAACATTTTTTGCATCACTGGTTCAATCGGCTAGCACCTTTGACATGCTACTTGAGGCCCTGCTGTCATCCGCCAAAAATTCGTCGTCCATGGGGGGGCCTGCCAGCAAGCAAGCGTTTCATTCTGTAGCACAGTGTGCAGCGGTGTTGTGCCTTGCTGCTGGAGATGCCAAGTGTCTATCAACAGTCGCAATGCTTGTGAACGGTCTCAAAACTGGCGGTCATGATGCGGTAAGAACTTTTGCTCTTTCTGTTTAATCTTTAACCGAAACTTTTATAGCATCAGCTGCTGTCACTCTTGTGTCTGGGAGAAATCGGCAGAAGGAAAGACTTAAGCTCCGTTCCCGATATAGAATCGGTTATTATCAGATCGTTCCAATCTCCTTCTGAAGAAATCAAGTCTGCTGCATCGTATGCACTGGGAAACGTAGCGGTCGGTAATTTATCGAAGTATTTACCTTTTATTCTAGGCCAGATAGATAGACAATCGAAATTGCAATATCTGCTTCTTCATTCATTGAAAGAGGTAGGTTCTTGTTTTTTCTTTTAACTTCTCGGTTTTTAATTTCAGTCTTGTTCAGGTTATAGCACGACAATCGTCTGATGAAGCTGGAAAAATTGAGCTGCAAGACGCGGACGTCCAAAAGATACTTTCTTTATTGTTCAATTATTGTGAAAGTGAGGAAGAAGGCGTCCGAAACGTTGTTGCAGAATGTCTTGGCAAGCTAGCACTTATTGAACCAGAAAGGCTCGTTCCTGCACTGAAGGTAAGCTCGATTGCTGAAATTCAAATCTAAGTTTCTTTTGCAGGCTCGGACATCCAGTACCTCTGCGTTTACAAGAGCAACAGTTGTTATCGCGATCAAATATACTATAGTTGAACGGCCTCAACCGATAGATGGGCATATCAAGCTTTGCATCTCTTCTTTTCTTATGCTTATCAAAGACGGAGATAGAGTAAGTGCTTACGTTTTTAGCGGGCTATTATAATCATTTTTGTTTCTGCTCGAATGCAGCATGTGAGACGGGCTGCAGTTTCGGCTTTGAGCACTGCTGGGCACAACAAACCGAGCCTTGTGAAGGAGCTGCTACCTGTGCTCTTTCCGCTTCTGTATGAACAGACAGTTGTAAAGGTACGATCTTTTCATTGGAGTCAGCATGTTATGTTTTTTAATCTCGTTTTGCAGAAAGAGCTTATAAGAACAGTGGATCTAGGTCCTTTCAAGCATACTGTGGATGACGGTCTGGAATTGAGGAAGGGTGCATTCGAGTGCGTTGACACTTTGCTGGACAGTTGCCTTGACCAAATTGACCCTTCGGCTTTCCTGACTTACTTGTTATCGGGCCTCAGCGGTACGTTCACAAGAGCTAGTTAAAGGCTCGTAACGCTCTTTCGGATTTGCAGATCACTACGACGTGAAAATGCCCTGTCACCTTATACTCTCGAAGTTGGCCGAAAAATGCCCATCCGCAGTAATAGCAGGTAAATTTGTTGGCGTAATCACAGGAACGAGTTTATTTCCTTCTTTATTTTTGTCTTGCAGTTCTGGACGTCCTAGTTGAGCCACTAGAGAAGACGGTTACCAACAAAACAAAACCGGATGCTGTCAAACAAGAGGTGGATCGAAACGAAGACATGATCCGGAGTGCACTTCGTGCCATTGATTCTCTGGACAGAATAAGGTACATACTTCTTTGGTTCGCTTCTGGATTCTGATGGTCTTGATTTTCCAGCGGAGAGTCCAGTCCGAGATTTAGAGCTTTCATCAATAACGTGGTGAAGAGTGGAACGCTGGCTGAAAAGTACAACGCCGTCCGCCACGAGAGTGATACTGTTGTTGCTGGGGACGTGATGGACATGAGCTAAGAGGTCATTCCCTTGATTTACGAGTTTGTGTTTGTTTGCTGCTTCAATTTTGGAGTGCGATCCCGTTTAGCAGAACTATTTTTCCATGCGGTACACACATCGGCTTTCTATCTAGCCATGTAATCACAGTGCAGAGAAAAACATTGCCAGTTCGCTGTAAGTCTCCAATTTGTCGCCATGCTCTTTGTTTTTCTTGCTATCGTTTTTAACACGTGGTTTCACATGGAGAGTAGCATAACTCGCCGTGTCCCATGGACGTGTTCTCTGCTGTTTTATGCAGTGTATAAGCGGCACGAGAAAATCCATCTTCGTGCCGATAGACAGGAGCGATGGACTTGGATTGGTACTCGCACAGCAGCTCAACATTGACGTCTTTCTTCGGGATGGTTCGTTTTCTCTTTAATTGGTCTTGATAGCATCTCACCATTTTGTTTTGCAGGTGACGCTTGGACTCAGACGCTTGAGGAGATGGTCCGTGGTTTACAGATGGAACCAAAGATCTGTGTGGCGCTCTGGTGAATGGAGATGGAGATATGGTAGCAAGCCGGCTGAAAAGCAGCAGGTACCCTGTTTCGCTTGTGTTTTTCATTGAGATCTTTGAGGATTTGGGAAGGCACTCCTTTTGTTGTACAAAGTTCTGACTTTTAAGGTTCTGTGAACTGGGAGGAAGCGAATTGCCCCCTTTTACTCACTGTTCAGTAACTTCTCCAGGTATTTGTGTAGCAGGTTCTGATCAGATTTGTTTTGAGCGAGTAGATCAATCTACGCTGGAGCTGTTAGTGCACTGGCAACTTGAAAATCCAGTGCTGTCCGGTTGATCTTTTCAACGATGCGAACAGTGCATCCGTGCTCGTCAACTCTGGTCCATCCATCCCGAGAGACGTCACCCGTTGCCTCGACAGTTATGGCCACTTCTTTCGACACAACACCCAGAGCTGTGGAGTTCACAGCGACTGCAGCCGCCACTACTTCACCCAGAGGATTGGCCTGGACAACGCAAGAACAGATTCAGGGAAGAAAAGATAGAACAGATGGGACGTACTGCATGGACGTAGGCCGGGTTCTTCGTCTTGAGCTCATGGACAGTGCGTAGCAGCTTGTGGACTAGACAGGACTCGGGTGTCCGGTGCCGGTGCCGGGATCTCAGATGGTTAAGGAAGGCCTTCTCGGGGGATACTTTCTCCGTCACATCCAGGGGCAGCAGCGTCACTCTCAGACCGGAACAAAGAACTATCTCGGCTGCGAGCGGGTCCAGGAACATGTTAAACTCGGCTTTGGAGTTCTCCTCCACGGTGAAAACGTTGCCGGGGCGCGAGATGGATCCGCCCAGCACGTAGACTTCCTGGTAAAAGCCTGTGAATGCGAGATCAAAGGGAAAGAAGCCTTGGACGTCACCTCGATGAGATCTTTGAGAGCTTGGTTCCTCGTCGCGGTAAGAAACTCCGCCAGGTTTGTAACAGGGCCCCCGGCGACGACCGTGAGCTTTGCGGATCCGCCCAGGCCGCGCAACGCGTCGGTGATCACCTCGGTTGAAGTTTGGAGCTGTGATCTCCCAGAGTACCTGAACAGTAGAAGATGAGGAAGAAAAGGAGAAGGTTTGGATAACTTTGGGACCTTCGAGGACTACGAGGAAGGCTTCGTGCAAGGCCGTAGAGGGTGTCCGAGTCGAGCAAGCCGCTAGTGCCTTGAGGGACCGCTCGCCTGTACTTACAGTCTCCAGTGGCGTTGGAGTAAGCTTGGCCGCGAGCAAAGAGAGCTCCCATCCCCACACTCACATCGTCCCTTCCCATCATGTCCAGCACATCATACACCGTATCGATCGAGGCCGCGTTTGCAAAGCCATTGCCGGACACTGTGATTGCCTGTTTCATCAAACTTTGCCACTTTAGCTCCTTTCTCTTTCTTTCTCTTTTCTCTTTTTCTTTTTTCCTTCTTTGGTATCGCAATCACCTTGAGTTCAACGATTGTCCTTGGTACCTTGAGGAGATAGACGAGCGTGAGAATATCTCCGGGGCTCATGTCCATGTCGAATAACAAAGCCTTGCCTTTGCCAAGTCTCTTGGGCCCGCTCGAGTTGACCCTGTACTGGTTTTCTCGGATGGACGGCGTCTGCCTTTGGAAGGTGAATCGAGCAGACTGGTGTGGAGAGTTTAGTGCCTATACGAAAAAGAAAGAGAAAAGCGATTAGAGGATAGACCTTAAGATGCTTACGTTGATGAAGCTCGAGTAGAATTCTTTGTCGAGCACCTTGCTCGTGTGAGTCTTTTCATTGTTCTCGTATGAAAGTTTTGCTCGTCCTACTACCTGGACCAAGACCCCACCACCACTTTTACAGTTCTTTGTTATCACCGTCCTTCCATCCTAGAAAACCAATGTGAAAGGAGGATTGCATGTAACTAAGTACCTTGCAAATGCCTTCGCCCCGAGGAACATAGCAGAATGGATCTCTCAAGCCCGTCTGAACGTGGCCGCTGTGGACGTCACCCTTCTCGAGCCCAAACTTCCGCCATCTTTTGGTTTCAAAGAGAGGATTGGAGCCATCCCGGACGCCGTAAGGCTCGTTGGACGTGACAATAGTTACGAGTGCTGGATCTATGGTTCCAAACTCGTTTTTGGAAGCATCGTGCCCATTGAGCATCCCCGATATTGCGATAGCTGATGTGAATGAATCCCAGAGATAGAAATACTGCCATAAACATCACATTACAATTCCTGCAAATATGCACACAACGTTTCACCTGAGAAAAGGCATCAGGCCAGATATGCTTGAGCATGCTGAGCATATGATATGTATAGTTTGCCTCGAGGCTGTTCATGCTTCTTTCCAGAGCCGTGATAAGTTCCTGAGTGACTGGAACAGTATCAGTTGCTTCCAAGGGGACCAAAGTTATAGCCAGCCCAGAGTGAAAAACCTGAAAGCTTCACCATATACTAAGAATACAGATGAAAGTCCCTACATAATCTTGGACCTGATAAGAAGCAAATGGGTCTGCGAAGATGTTAAACTCGGCTCTTGGGTTGCTCTCAGTTCCAGTGAACAAATTGCCACTCTCCCCACCACCCATGATGTAGACATGCTGGATGTTCTTCTTGACCTCTGGGTGTGTCATGAGCAGCAGTGCAAAATTTGTGTGGGATCCTGTGAGCAGCACTGTGTTTGATCCTGTTGACAATGCCTCGAGCAGAACTTCCTGGGAGCTTCTTTGCTTCCCTGGGATGTAGTGTCTCTCCCCCTTGCAAGTGTTATTCTTTTCTCTAGTTCCACAAGAGAAAGAGGAAGAACTTAAGCATATTACCTGAGGTAAGAACTGGCTTCTGAGTCCATAATGCGTGTCCACATCAAGGCTCCCCGCTCCTCTTCCTGGTGGAATGGCTTGCCTGTATCTACAACTCCCACAGGTGTAAAGCATCTGCCAAAGTATAAGCTGTAGTTTATACCAAAAAGAAGTGGAGGAAATGAAAAACTCAAGAAGAACTTTGTGTTTCTTCTGAAAGGAACAACCTTCCACTTTGTGGGTGCTCCATCCAAACAAAAGAAGTGGAAAGAAGGAGAAGGAGAGAGAAAGGAGAGCATGGAAGATTTGAGAGGAGACATTTTACCTGATCAATAATTGGCACATAGCCTCCAACATTTGGCTGGATTGTGCCATCTTGTGTGATGCCTCCCTCCCCTCCGACACCGATGGCGATGTCATCCCGGCCCATGGTGAACAAGAGATCATATACCATGTTGACTCCAAAACCCGGATTTACCCATGCATTTGAGTCTAAGGTGATTGCCTGCAAGGCAGCAGAAGAACCACCTTCTTTATCAAAAGCATTGCAGGTTGCAAGAATGATATCAATGTGATACGCAAGACATGATGCAAGAAAACCGTGTGCAGAAAGACTTGCCTTGAGATTTATAAGAGATCTGTTTTGCTTGAGAATGTAGAGAATTGCCAAAACATCCTCCACGTCAAGGTCAGTGTCAAGGACCAAGTTCTTTGGAACAGCCGCAGCAGCATCTTTGCCTCTGAATTGATCATGAGCGAGAACTGGAGGCAATGGAAACAAGAGCAAGAGCACAGCGAGGAGGAGATGAACGGTTTGCACCATCGAGTAGCAGGAACTAAACCTTTCTAAACCTGAAGACCTGTTCTACGAGCACAGCAGCAAAAACCAAACTTTCCTCTCTAGGAGGAGAGGATTCAGTCAATGCAGCTATTGTTTTGCTCTAGAGAGATTCCAGACCATGATCGCAACGCTGTTGGAAAGCTGCAAAGAAAAACACACGGGGGAATTCAAATATCTTTGGGAGGAGCAGACGAGACGCCGGAAATATCAGAGCTCGGAGAGGAGGATGCCTTAAATATGGTGGTGGTGTTGGTGGTGAGACAATCGATTGTCCGCGCTGCTGCCACTCAGGGGAGGCTCATGATCGTTGTTTGGCTGGTGTTTGCCCAATGAGATGAGAAAGGAAAGGAGGAGGAGCGGCACTTTGCTCCCACTGTTACTGCCTTTCTTCCCTTTGTGGCCGCCTGTGATAACAGGAATGGTGCCCATGTATTTATAAGGAGTGGGGGTAACGAGAGAGTTCCAGTGGCATTTGCTTTCTAGATGGAGGACTAAAAGATAAATCAAATGGCTCTTGGGAATTTCGATTCACCAAGCTCGATCCCAAAAGGATGAAAAGAAAGGAGGAATGTCCTCCCTTGGAATGAACATTTTCGAAGACATTTCAATATTATACGCCACCTCTTGGAGCTCTTACCATCAAATCAAACTCCATCCCAAGTTCAAAGTTTTCTCGGTAAGCTGGTGAGCAACTTCGACGATTTCTTTGAATCTTTCAACTCAAAAGCGCGAGCTCAGAGGGCATGATGATGCAAGCAAGCAAGCTTTACTATATATTGCGTGCAAAATGATGTCGGCTTTCTCCTTTCAGATGTCTTGTGGCTCCAGCAGAATGAGAAATGAAGGTCACTGGAACACCTGGTGATTTCATGAATTGCCACCACCTTGCTTCTATGCTGCTCCTGTTCCTGCTTCTGTCGCTGCTGCTGGGCTTGGATTCTATATTATGAAGCAGAATATGTGCATATAAAGTAATGGCTGGGCATGCAAAACTGTATGCCAACCAGCTAAAACCTCTAATTCTTTATACCCATCAATGGAAGGAGGGGACCTCTCCCCTTCTCTACAGGAACTTACACTGGTTTGGCTTTTTAGGTGCATTGTATGCACAACTTTTCTTGTATCTTGCTGCTGATCTATTGCAAGCCTTGTAAGCAATGCGGGAAAAAGACCTGGAATCTACAAGATTAAACTAGCACGGCATGTATAAGTTGGTCGCTTGCGAGCCGCAATCTAGCAACAAATGGAATCATGGCCGCCATGATAATAACAATGCATTTTTTCTAACCTGGATATTTGTGCACTGTCCGTATGGAGCTCGCAAATCAGCTCCCTCGGTGCGTAAGAGCTTTACACTTGGAAGCTCACTATGTGGGCTTTTTCCAAGGTTAGTTTATCATCACCTCAATCTAAACTTTGTGGATTTGATGGTCGGGCTTTATCTTCACCCCTGTACCAGATCATTGATCTAGCTCTCCTTCGGACAAAGCCACAATTTTAAAAATCAAGGTCAGCGAGGAGTCAAAGTCGTTTCTAAAGTTTGTCTCGGGCAAATGCCTTGCAATCCAAATGAGTATAAAGGAGGCTCCGGTTTTTTTCAGTTTTTGTGCGAGTCGTTTCTTTGCAAAGGTAAGGCGTGCTTTGTTGTTGCACCACTCCCAGGAGTCTAATCGGTACCACTTCCATTTTGGCCGTGGTACAACTTGAGAGTGCTGGCCAGCCTTTCAATCTAATGCCATTGTCTACCCAAGTATAAATGCTGACTTTGGATCGGAAATGACGTAAAGTTTGATCATCACATCCACGAAAACTGGTTTGTGTGTGTTTGTGAAATTCCAAGAGTTTTGAACTCAAAAGAATTGTCTTTGAATCTTGCAAGGAAGAATAAAAAACTTCATTGTCGTGTGAGCTTTCACTTTCCAGATGTAACTTTTCTTGATTTAGAAGAAGATCTGAGTTGTCCAAGGCTGGGCTTTTCTTTTCTTTTCCACATTATCGAGAAATCCTTGCGCCCCTTTGAGGAAACACCGTGGCAAACCAATGCCTCAAGTCCACTGCCACTTCCAAAGACTCCATAAACCAATGCCTCAAGTCCACTGCCACTTCCAAAGACTCCATCGTGGAGGGATACGCATCGCGATCGAGGCAATGCGTGACGTGAGAGACGTGATTTTAGGTGTGTTTGAAAATGAGAGGGCCTCGGCTCGCAAGGCGATCCATCCACCATCAACACGTACCTCGCCAACCGTCTCGTCCAAATGTATGTCCACGCCAAGAACGTCTTCTCGTGGAATGTGATGATCCATGGCAGCGTGGAAAACGGCGACATCCGGCAGGCCAGGGCACTGTCCCAGGCAATGGATCGCAGGAACGTCATGTCGTGGACGACGATGGTGAGCGCTTATGCCCGAAAGGAGGGCGATTCCCTCCTTGCGCCATTGTTCTTGGAGAGAATGCCGCAGTGGAGCGTCGTGCCGTGGAACGCCATGCGCGGATCGCTCGTCCACGACGTCGAGTTGGGCCTCGCTCGCAGGTTCTTTGAGATCGCGCCCAAGAGAGACGTGATCGCCTGGAACACGATGATTACGGCCTACTCCCATGAGCGGGAGCTTTAGATCCCGAGCTTTCACTTTGACAGGATGCCGTAGAGAGATTTGGTGTCGTCAGTTACTGCGGCTTACGCATATCTTGGAAGATTAGTTGACGTGAAGAAAATCTTCGATTCAACGCCGCAACAGTATGTTTTATCGTGGAACACAATAGTCACAGCATTTGCCTTAAACAGGCATCTAGATTATGCAAGCTTTAGTTTTCATCAGCAATGTACTCTCTTGGAACGCAATCTTCGGTGTCTTTGCTAGCGCTGGCTTTGTTGATGTTGCGGAGAACATCTTCCAGTCCATGGACTAGAGAGAATCTGTGTCGTCGAACTCTCTGATACCAGGGAGACGTTTCGTGCGATGGTTTTGAATGGTTTCTTTCCGGACAGTCTCGCAATCCCCTCGGCTTGCACCCTCGATGGAAGGCTTCAAGACTCGTGGAACTGTTACGCATATGCAACGCAGAACTTTGGCATCGTTCGGACTGGCGAATACGAAAATGTGCGCTCTTGGGTATGGTCGAAGAGACTTTCTTCGTCGTCGACGGTGAATCCTATTCCATCGATGCGAGGCGTGGAAGAAAGGCCCGTGTTTCTTTGCCTCCACGCCTACTACCCTTGCAGTGTAAAAAGGTTTAGCTATGGCTTCGAAGATGCTGAGGCGCTTCTCCTCGAGCGTGGCGAACTTCAATCAGGGGCGGATAGTTTTCACCAGGGAAAACGAGCTCGCGGCGCTGAATGGGCTGTAGCCGCTGTAGGTGACTCGGTAACGGGAGGCAACTTAGTTGTGGTGAGTGGACCGAAGGATTCGGGGAGTGCCCTCCTGCGGAGGCAAGGTGAGGGTGAGTATCCCGCTGACATGCGCGGCTCGATTTCTCCGAGGGGTGTTGCCCGACTGTTCAAGTCCAGCTTTTTACCCGCCGAGCTGGAAAGCTGGAGTGTTCTCAAGGACCAGATGGACAAGGCAGACGACCGTCCTTGCAGCTATCAAGTCCTACGGTGTCTCTTGTAATAGCCTGGTTCTGAAAGGTGGCGGGGACTATGCTAAGGTCTATCCGACGATCGTTCTGGATGAGGCCAGCTGGTTGTGCACTTGGACCACAGATCCAGCGACCAAGAAAGAGCTCGACCAGCTGCTCGCTTTCTTTGTGATGGTGACGAAGCAGGAGCACATCATGAATGTGGTGCTGGCATCCTCGGAGAACTTCTTTGGGACTTGGCTTGCGGCCTACAAAGGCAGCCTCCGAGCGGACACTTTACACGTAGGCGATTTGCGTGAAGCGGAAGCTCGCCAGTTCTTTGAGACGCTCCTACCGACGGGTTCTGATGGAGTGTCTGACGAGTTGTGGAAGGACATATACAGCCATATGGGTGGACGGATGGGCTTACTAGCCAGAGCTGCTGGGAGCATTGAGTCATGGGAGGCTGTGAAGGCCTCGCTTCTCTCAAGCTGCTGTTTGGAGGTCCGGCTTGCTTGCTTTCCAGAGGCCCTCCCTGCCAACAAGCCTAGCAAGCCGTGCTGGACCAAGGACGATTGGAAGGCCGTAGTGTCCACCTTGGTGAAACACAAGGACGGTATTACGCCCTACATGACGCTCTGCAACAAGCTTTCCGTGGGCAAGGTGAACAGTCTCATCGAGTATGACCTCCTGCAGTATAGGACACTTGCAGCTTGGGGTAAATCCCGGAGAAGGACTGGCCCCTTGTCATGCCATCGACGTCGCTTCACTTTCGAGCTATGCAGCGGCTGGCCAAAACTTTGTAGAATCATCAGGGAACGAGATATGCGAGGGTGATTTCAATTTGGTCATAGACTTGATTTTCACATTCCGTTGACTTTCGTCAACTTTGATTCATAGAGGAAAATAGTGGTTAGAACCTATTTTCGTATTTGCGTCCATGGATGAAGAGAGTGCTCAAGCAATGCCTCAAGTCCACTGCCACTTCCAAGCACTCCATCGTGGAGAGCTACGCATCGAGATTGAGGCAGTGTGGCATCGGAAGAGACGTGAGAGAGGGGAGGAGGATTCACCGTGAGCTCCTCGACTCACAAGGCGATCCATCCACCACCAACACGTACCTCGCGAACCATCTCGTCCAAATGTATGCCCAGTGTGGGCATTTGCAGGAATCCCGGGAAGCTTTTGACGAGATCCACGCAAAGAACGTCTTCTCGTGGAATGTGATGATCTATGGCAGCGTGGAAAACGGCGACATCCGGCAGGCCAGGGCGCTGTTCGAGGCAATGGATCGCAGGAACGTCGTGTCGTGGACGACGATGGTGAGCGCTTATGCCCGAAAGGAGGGCGATTCCCGCCTCGCACAATTGTTCTTTGAGAGAATGCCGCAGTGGAGTGTCGTTCCGTGGAACGCCATGCTCGGA